ATTTCCTCCTGCTGCATCTCAGGGCTGGACTAGGATGCTCCTGGTCCTGAACTGTGAAAACATTGAGACCCTGACTTAATCCACTGCTATATCCACTGAATTTTCAGAAAAGGCCCTGGATTAGGTTGGCAAGGATCAGAGGAAAGCACCCGGTAGACTTGTGGATCCTTGGAAGTAGGACGGTAGGCAATTCTGCAGAGCAAAACTAGGGATGCTGACAGAAATAAGGGCTGAAATAAAGGAAAATTGAGAAAGGTAAGAGGGAAAATAGGGAAAAACCCCTACCCATAAGATGGACATGAAAGGAAAGAGATGCACCAGGAACAAACAGCAATGAGAGAAGGCTGTGGGAGGAAGCGACGCAGCACCAGAATGGTCTGGCAGAAGCTTGTCCACTGCCTGTGCCCTGCCTCACTTTGCTGTCAGGTCTTGATTTTTGCAAACACTGAATCTGCACTTAGCTCTCATGCACTGTTCGGATATAACAAGCTGGAAAGGGAACAGATCAGCTCGTTAATTTTCCTTGGGAAGGGTCTCTAGGCAAGAATTATTTTCTCCACCAACATTCATTCAATTACTTGCCTTCACACCAGTCAGATCTACAGGGATGTCTAACCTCATGTGCATCACTCATGCCTGCCTGCTCTGGACTCTTCTCTCTCTCCTTCTCAGTATAAAAGCCTCCCAGACCTATCTCTTTCCTAATAATAATGACAACATGACAAAACCAATAACCTGCAGATATAAAATACAATTCATTTGCTTGCTTCATAAGACCCTGATAAGGCATTGTCCCTCACTTTTTGAGATCCTATAGGAGATCTACAGGAGTTAATTAAAGAATTAGGTAAGGCATCACTCATAATAAAAAGTGGTTTTAAAGCACTCGGTGCCAAGAAGGAATTAGGTTGGAAGATCTGCAACCATTTCGAAGTTGTAAGAGGTGCAGTATCCATGTGGGGCATGAGCTTGCAGATCTCAATTGCTTGGTGTACATGTGTTTTGTGCCTACACAGTCAAAGGGCTGAGAAAAGATATTTTTCTTGAAGGGTAGAGACTTTTGAATGGCCTGGGGACACATTTGAGCAACCCCAATATCTGAGAAAGAATAATCTTAAGGAAGAACAGGAAAAAAATCAGAATTGCGATCTGACACCACCTGTCTGCTTGAGTCCCACTGTGGAGCAGGGGCGTCCTGTAGGACACAAGAAAAGGGGGAAAGAAATCCCAAGAGAGGAGGAACTTCCGAAATAACACTCCTCTCTGAATCAACACAAAGATCTGAAAATGTTGACTGAAACTCCTTTGTGGGGAATAGAATGACTGAAGAGAGGGGAACTCAGAAATTGAAAGCCTTGGGACAAAATTGTCCAAGGGGAACTTGCAATTCTGACCATAACATATCTGCGTGTACAGTCCAAGACTAAGTTCTCACATCCGCTTTTGTTACTGGATCTCTTGGCCAAGAAGAGAAAAGATAATTTAACACAATAACTTGAACATGAGGTGTCTACCATCTCTGACAGCCTACAGTGTTGACTAGTGTCAGTTTTCTTCATATCCCCAGAAATGAAGGCAAGGTCATCAGAGGCTTCTTACAAGTAGTAGATGGCAGTTTGGACTCCTTCTTTGATTATTTTCTTGTTATAAAGCCTCCTGCCCTCTTCTTCACTACCTCCTCTCACCGTATGGACCTGCCCTGACACCCACACCAGGCAGAAGAAGAGTGTCTGCCCCACACCCCTTGTCAGATGCCTCTGCCACACTGTGGGAAGGCTGTGAACAGAATCCAAAGATTTTGCTCTTTTTTCAGCCTCCTGGGACCAAACCCTTCCCTCCACAAATCTGCCCACTCTCTGTATCATGGGGGAAAGCAGACTTTGCTGTATCCTTCTCTCTCCTGTTCACCAGCAAGCAGCTTTCACCAGGGAGAGCAAATCAGCCAGGGACACCTTTCTGATTTGTTCTGCCGAGAAAGAAGATAACCCCTTCTACAGTGATCAGACATGACAGTAAGAGACCTGCCATCCAAGGGCTGGTGGAGATACTTGGCTGTGCTGTCCTGGGACTGAGACAGTGTCAGCCACCACCCAATGCAGGCTGTGGGGCTGCTGGAAGCCATGTGGAGGCATCTCAGCAGTGGCAGTGCCAGACCTATGCTGTGCCACCCCATGAAGCTGCCCAGACCCTTATCAGCATGTGCCTATGGCGATGGTTTTGCCTTCTGCTGAGATGCTCTTGCTACCAAGACTTTATCCAAGTTTTAATGCAACCTGTGCCCTCAGGCAAGGGGCTCAGAGCTGGGCTCAGCTCCCCCATGGTGCATTGCCCCAGTTGCCAGTACTGCCCAGCACTTAGGGGTTGGGGGAATGGGCTGGCCCAACCCTCACATGTCTGGGGCAAGGGAGAGCACCCTGCCAGGGCCATGCAGCTTGTGCTCAGGCTGCACTTCACACCCCTCATGCGGGGCTGCAGTTTGAGCCCACTGGAGAGCATCAATAGAGAGGGCAAGGGACCTCAGCTGGCAGCAGTGTTGTGGGGGCTGGGGGCACTACGGAGCTTTTAATTGGAAGCACCCTGGCACATTCTTTTGCCATGCAAGCCGCTTCTCCACAGTGCCTGTGGGGTCCTGTCAGATGTAAAGGAGAAGGAGCCCTAAGCTCCTCCAATCTGACAAACCTCACCCGCCCCTTCCTCCTCCCCCTCAGACCGCGTCCCTCTGGGTACGGCTCTGTGGGCAGATAGACATGATCTGAATTCGCTGCCTCTCCTGGCTGGGGTCCTCATACCTCCTATCTCCACCCCAGCCTCCCTCCTCCCTCCAGCTTGGGGACATGGCTCAGAGAAGGGAGTTCATCCCTGCAGCCTCTCTTCCCTGCATGGCTTTGCATTTGAGCTTCTTTTTTTTTTTTTTTTTTTCTTTTCCCTTCTCTCTCTCTTTAATTTTTAATTAAGGAGATGTCTCCTTCCCTGGTTGTAATGAATATCTGTGTGAAAGGCTTTTCATTTTTTATTAATATACAACTCTATATATTTATCTATTTGGAGGAAATCTGTGCGTGTGTGAGCAAGTGTGTTTAAAACATCCCCCATTAATTTACTGCTATTGATTTTCTGGCTTGGATACAGCATATAGTATTCAGCATAGAGCTCCTCTGCAGGATATGTTAAAAGGCAGCAGTTTGGGTTGACAAAGGGCACTAAATGCAGTATGCGTCAAATAGACCATCGCTCAATGAAGTCACTTAGCTATTCAAAACATGTTCAGCCATCACTCAACCGTTTGCACCAAGAACGGGGGAGAAATTCATGCTTCTTCCCGGACACAACCATTTCCAACCAGCAGCTTTAGCTTGCTTTGGTGAGAGACATCAAATCATACATAGTTTATTCCCCCCTTCCCCCTGCCTTCCATCTCCCTGTGCCGGGCTAAGAAAATCAGTTCTGCGGTACCCACTCCCCCTTCTCTCCCATCAGGGATCTCCAGGCACACCCAGCTCCGGTGGACACCGGTAGACACAGATCTTATCCCTGGATGTCCATGAGCCCCCAGCAGCCCACCGTCCAGCTGGGAGCTGATTCATAAACAGGGCTTTTACAATGGGCTGTAATGTGCTCCTGTGCTCTCGCTCTCTCCTTCTCACTACGTGTGTAACGTAAACCACGCATTTACATCAGTTGCCCCTATCCCTTCAGCACAGGCTGAAGACCACCTCCCCAGCCCACACGTACACCAATAGCAGTACTGAGCAATACATATTTAAAAGCGAATCACTGGCCCCTCTTTTCTTTCCCCCTCCCTTAAGAACGTCTGATTCCAGAAGTTGGCTGCGGCGGTGTCTCTTCTGCCATCAGACATGTCACTGAGTTGCTGTTCAGTTTCACCACATCAGACTTGGGCTGATTTTTCCATTCAGAGACTTGTTTATTTTTAGCCTTCACCATAAACCTTAAAAAAAAAAAAAAAAAAAAAGAAGCCCAGAACACCCCCCCCTTCTAACAACAAACAAACTGGGGAAAAATTCCAGCCCCAAACCAAACCAATCAGCCACCAACTAGACCCCTTTCCCTTTTGCATCCAGCCCAGTGAGATGTGGTTGCTTACAGACATTACAAAATGCTCTGAACTCTGGTTGAGATCACTGGTATTGTTAGATTTACTGTGTGAGGCATTTTGGACATACCAGGGTTGCTTCCCTTTCTCTCTTTTTCCCTCCTGAAAGGAACTAATAATTGAATCCAAAGTGATTTGCAGTCACCCCCTCCCCACACTGCCCCTCACTCACAGTCTTGTCTTTGCAAATAAGCCATTTGCAAAGAGAGCAATTATTTCACTCTGTGGTTGCAGCCGGAGCACAGCAATAACACAGCATTTTAGCATTGCTTACCCAGGCAATACAAACAAGCTAAAGACAGGCAGACTGCACAGTTGCTTTTTGAAAGGGTCTCTCGGTGGTTTTGTAACACACACATTATTCCAGTTGGAGAGAGGAAGTGAATTTTTGGGGAAGGTGTGTGGGGGGGAGGGTGGTAAAGAGGAAGGGAGAAGGGAATGGAACAGTGAATGTTTTGCCTGTCTTCTTGCCTCTGTGCCCTGAGTAACTGAGCCCACCACTCTCAAACCACGGTGAAAGGAATGAAGTGAGAAAATGGTGGAATGTGGAGGGATTTTTTGGGGGGGAGGAGGGAGAAACATGGGGTGGTGGGAGAGGAGGGGATGGGGGGGTGTGGAGGTCCAGAATCAAATACCTTCCAGGCAGCAGGTTCTCCATAATCCAGAATGGGTCATGACTTCCTCATTCTTTTTGCTGGTTTCGTTCTCACTGACAGTTTTAGTCTTGCAAACCCCTCTGGAGTAAAGCCAGTAGTCGGTCCCCACAGCTATGGTCATCAGGCTGAAGGCAGCGAAAGCACCAACGGTGGTTAAAAGCATCTGAACACCTCTGTCAAAGAGCCCCATAATTCTTCATTATACAAATACCCAACCGCCTTCTGATTCTTGGGGTGTGTGTGTTTAATAAAATAAAAGAATAATAATTCCGACTAATAATATAATGGGTATAGAGAGAGAGATAGATATCAAAAAAGGGAGGTAAGAAAGCCCACGGAAAAGAGTGTAAATTAGAAAGACCACACGGGAAGAGGCTTGCCTTTTAAATCGGAAACGTTCTGGTTGAAATATAAAAAAAGGAAAAAGGAAAAAGAAAAAAAAAGAGAGAAAAGAACCAAGAAAAACCAAACAAATAAAGAGAGAACCCCCCCCAAAATGAGACGCCTTAATCCCTTTTTCTAAAATTCTGGTCTCCAGTTTCCATATGTAATGGCTAATTTGGAGATGGCTTCCACAGTGAACAGGGGAGCAGCAGCAGCATCCTCAACACAATCTCTCATTATCTGGACCTAGACAGTTAGAGACTGTAAGAGCAGAGATGCAACCTTCAGTCTTCTTGCTTAGCTCTGCAGCCTGCGCCATGAAAATCCTTTTCCTTCCCAGTTATCTTCCTTGGGTTTTTATTTTTTTTTTTTTCCCGGCAGCGGCAGTCGCTCCAATCCTCTCTCACTTTTTCTTGCTTGCTTCTCCTTCCTTTCGCTCGCTCCTACCACCAAGCCAGAGTGCCCAGTATACTGTAAGCCCTTGATTTCAGCTGAACAGGTGCCGAGGTCTCGCCTCCCATGGCTTTTCCGCACAGCCGCGGCGCTCGCTCCCGGCGGAGGTGGGCGAGGAGAGAGGGGGGCTCCTGGGGCTGGAGGGTTGGGGGGGAGGAGGGGGACGGGCGCGGCGCCCCTCCCGGGCGGGGGGCGCAGAGCGGAGCCCAGCTGCGGCACCCCCTGCCCCGCGGCGGCCCCCGGCGACTCCCGGGCCCCGCTACTGCATCAAGGCGGCGGTGGCGGCGCGGCGCTGGACGGCTCCCCCGCGGCGGCGGCGGCGGTGTCGGCGCTGGCCGGCGGTGCTGCAGGACAGCTCCCCGGGCGGCGGGGCGGGCGGAGCGCTCCCGGGCCGCCGGTGCTGCAGGACAGCTCCCCGGGCGGCGGTGCGGGCGGAGCGCTCCGCGGCCCGCGGTGCTGAAGGACAGCTCCCTGCCCGCGCCGCCCGCCCTGCCCGCGCCGCCCGCGCCCCAGCATCCGCGGGCGGCAGCCGCCCTCCTCCTCCGCCCCGCTCCGCTCTGCGCGGGCAGGCAGCAGGCAGCAGGCAGGCAGCGAGGGGCGGGGGGGCAGCCTGCCCCCGCCCTGCGCCTCGCCCGGCGCTGCCGGCCCCGCGAAGGGTCGCTCCCCGGGGGCCGCCGCGGAGCTCAGGGGATGGCGACGCTGGGGCTCTCCCTCGCTTTCCGCCTTTTAGCCCCCCACCGCCGTCCCCCGGCTCAGCCGCCTTCGCATCCCCGCCGTAGGTGCCTGGAGCCGCGAGTGCGACCCGCACACCGCAGTTAGACCCGCACAGAACTTCAGTCAACCGTTTCTCTCCCCAGGAGATGGGTGAAATGTAACGTGGAAGGGTAATTTAAAAACAAGCATGTATTTCTGCTCTTATTGCTGTTGTTATGATTTTTAAGTGCTTCCTCTTCACTCTTCTCGGGTTTGCTGCAAGTTGCATATGTCTTGGTGTTGCTCGTTTTCTGTCCCTCTGCCTCCTCCTGACCAGTGTTATATGGACCCAGTGTGTGCGTTCTGACTTTGTCTTTATAGCTTTCTGTGAAATCCCAATGCCTGCTCCAAGAAGCGGACATTTTGGGAAGATTCTTCATGAGAAAGGACGTTTTATGGTAATTACTATCATTTTGTTACGGCAAGGAACCACCAAAACTGAATACCTCCACCCCCACAACTCCCAGAAAGCAATCCACCTTTCACATCCTTGTTTTACACATAAAGATGTACGAGCTGAATGGATGCAGCCTGAAATCTATCACTGCTTAAGTTTCCTGTGTCAGACACAACCTGATAGTACCAAGAACATACACAAAACTGTGCAATACTGACATCTAAGTATGGTATAATCCTCTCTCTCTTCCTTAGCAGTATCATTACACCAGGTTAATTACATTAGTCACCTCCTGGTTCTATACATGTAGCTGCTCATTAATGCAACAATCATAAAGAAAAGAAATAATCTAATTCTTGATGCTACCGATTTTGTTTCTCTCTGATCAGGCTCATTGTTCAGTGAAAAGGAGACCAGAAGAGCTGCTTTAGGTTCACTGCTGTTCTGTGCGGGGGAGCAGGGCTGAGGGAAGTGGGTGCTGGGAAGTTGAACCAGTTGGAGGGCTTCAGCCATGCCGCAATTTCATAACTCCATTTATCTCTTCTCCCTTCTCCCTCTCTGTGTGCTGACTGAGACTATCCTTTCAGGACAATCTGCCCCAGGGACCATTGGAAATGAAGGGCTCTGTAGCAAGCAGCCAAGGGGCCCCTGGCTGCCCTACAGACCCTTGATCATTTCCCCTATTTGGAGGGTACAATCCAGGCTGCCCTCAGAGCTGAGAACAAGGTAGAGGTGTTTATCAGCAAGCACTCATGGTGTCTGGCATCAGCCATATGCAGATCACCACCAGCAGGAAGGAAAGGCTCTGGGGAAGGCAGAAGGGAGGGGTAGTAGGAGACATTGCAGACTGAGGCCACTGAGATATTTTTTGGGGATGAACAAACCCTGACCTAGCCTGAGGGAATCCTAGCCTTGCCCTCTGCCATAGGAGCCTGCAGGGCCTCTTTCTGCACTCACAGAGCTGCCAAAAAGCTGGGGATAAACAAGGGGGGAGGTGGCTCCAAAGCATCTTCAGTACCCTGCAAGAGTGTGGAGGATGGTAGCTTGTGGACAGGCTCTCTGAACTGTTATACTTGGTGCAAAGGAATCGGAGAGGCGGAGAGATGCAGAGAACACCTCCAAGATGGTGGGAGATTAGGGCTATACAGGGATGGCCTGTGTTGAAGAGGAGGCTCTGTGAGGGTCTCTCTGGGAAAGCTAGAGAAGATCACTCAAGGACCTTCCCTTCTAGTTTCACTGGAAGAAGGAAGGTGCCTTGAAGAGGGAACACATAAGGGAAGAATAAGTAGTTCTTGGGACTCTGAGCATTTTCTTTTTGTGTTGGTGGTCATTCCTCTCCAACTCTGTCCAGTATTCAAATGTTCTCATTCTTCAAAGGAAGGTAGAAAATCTGGGCCAGGAGCCTGAAAAACTCTGAAGAGCAAAAAACTTCATCTGGTTATTCTGGCACTCAAATCCATCAGGCACAAACATTGCATGTGTGGATAGGAAAACCACTCTGGAAATCTGTGGAGCTCATACCTCCAAGGAAGGTGGGCTCCTCAGTTACTCTGTACTCTCAAAAATGTGTATTGCAGCAACAAGAGAGGGGCATGTTCTCCCAAAAGAAATTGCTAGTGTAAGAAGGCCAGGTTTGCAGGGTGACAATTTCTTTAATGTCTGGCTAAGAGAAGTGAGACCTATGAGAACTCAGCACATCTCAGGATCAGAACCAAATACGGCTTCCTGCCTCACACTTCCCCATTTCCAGAAATAATTCTCTTCCTGCTACCCTACTTATACACTCTTAGACCATTCACAATAATCCCTCTACAGTTCTAAATGCCACAGGAGAAGAATGGAACAAAGGCAATGCAAATGCCAGACTGTCCTGTGTGACTGCTTGTGCTGTGGATAGATGCTGTGCTGAGATTTCATCTTTCCTACAAAGAATCATTAAAAATGATAACACAAAACAAGAACACAGAATAAAAACACTGTGGCAGATTTTTACAAGTCACATCTTCCTGAATAGCACAACACGGAATGACATCTATAGAAGAGTAAGGAGAGAGAAATTAATAGTCTGGAGGAAATAGAGAGATTTTAAATTACATTTTAAATTACTTGAAATGAGAAGCTGATGAGACAGGGAGCCACAGGAAGTCTGCTTCCAATGGCAAACCAAGAGTGCTGCTATTTGTGGAGAGAAGGGGCAGTGCTGTAGGAAAAAAAGGGGCATGAGAAAGATACAGGAAGCAAGATGAAGGGCACAAAGTCAGAAGGAACTCCATGGGATGGTAATGAGACTGAATAGAGTGTTTGTGGATTGAGTGCTGCAGTGGAGCTCTTTGGCACGTAGGATAAAATCAGACAGCAATAGAGTATAAAAATTGGTATCTAGGAATCTTCATCCTGGGGAGGCCAGCTCAGAAGGAGCTGCTGTAATGAGATGTAAAAGAGATGGAGTTGATGCAGCTGTATTTGCAGGCAGAGCAGAGGTGTTAATAGGCAGATGCACCAGCAGAGGAGATGTTAGGAAAAACAAATTGGGGTTAGGGTGATGATCATAGAACTGGAAGCCAACGGGGCAGAGAAGATAAAAGTGAGATAAGGTGCAGAAAGAGAACTAAAATGTACGATAGTTCATGAAGAAAGAAAAATGTCACATATCTGTATGGTTAGACAAGCAGAGGGGGCAATCAGAGCAGTCATCACTGATATCCAAAGCTGAGGGTCCCAAAGCACTTAAGAAACGTTATTCGCATCGTATCTTCACGCTGGTGGTTTTCTCAGACCAATTTAACAAACTAGCAAGCTACGAGAGGAAGATTTGTGGGTTTTTGCCAAAGAATCACAAGTGAAGGAGCTAGAAATTGAGATGAGATAGAGATAGGGAGATGAATACACACGGAAAAAGCCTCACCGGTCCTCTTTTCTTATCTTCAGGTTCATATAACTTGAAGATCAACTTAAAAGACAGTTTAAACGTCAAATATTCAATCCTACAGCAAAGTTATCTCTAGTGTAACGCTTTCTTATAGAAAGTAAGAAAGAAATTGACATATGGGATACAGAGATCTAACAGTTAAAATGAGCATATTTCCATGCAAAACTGGTGTGGGTACTGCCCTGAGAGTGCACAAAAAACTCGTGATAGACAGGAGTGGAATTCTGGTAGGCACCAAATATGAGGTTATAATGCTGCCATACATAAATCCCTCAGTTTCTGACCTATATCCTCTTCCAAGCTAAATGTTGTGCAAACAGTTCAGTTAGCCTCTCACAACCCTCTTACAAAGTAACACGTTCATTAGTTCGCAGAGGCACTGAGGCACAGAAAAATTCAGAACATAATCACAAAGCTCACCCAAGTGAAAGTGTTCGAGCTGATTTTAGTGGGATCTGGGTGCTGTTATGAATGAGTTGGGTACCCATGAATACCCAAGAGAACTGTTTCATTTTGAGTTTTGAAGCTAGAACTCCTGTGCTTCCCATGTGAGACTTCTTTTTCTCATGCAACCTTTTCTTCCATTGAATGGTAACCTTTGAAATGTTTGCTATTTGAAGATGGTTGGGAAAAAAAAAAGTATCATCTCATGAACCCTGTGGGTTGGAGAAGACAGAGATTCCCAGGATGAATTTTCCGCCATGATGAGTTGCTGGGATGTGAACTATTTTGCCTCCCTTTCTCTTTCCATGCTGTGCTAAGGTTTGTATGTACAGCAGCCTCCTAATCAATAGAAACAGAAAAAAAAATCAATGCCTGCAACCCATTAGCTCTAACAGAGGGCAGGCTACTAACAAGTCACTCTAGCTGGAATTTTAGTATTTGGTAAAGTACCCACAGTAAGGATATATGCATACATATATATACAAACTTACTGAATAAGACTAGCAGAGAAAAGTTGTGAGAACATTCCCCCTCACACCAGCATGTCCATCCCTACGTATTGGCATAACTATGCTAAACTAAAGGCACTATCCCCCACTCGGATGCTGTCCCTCACACTTATCCTCTCCAGAGCACGTTTTTCTACACTTGATTTATAATCCCAAGCTACCTTCATGATGAACCATCTTGTGTATAAATAAATACGTGCCTCTACACACCCTTACCCCTGCATAAACCATACACCACAGAAATCCAGCTTGAGACCCACTTATTCACAAGCATACAGCCATTGCTTTTCCTGTGCTGTATTCCCAGATCTTCCATGGAAATCCTCTTTTTTTCTTCCCATTCATGTCCAAAACAAGGCACAGACAGTTCCCGCTGGCATCCATATAAATCCAACCTTGAAACAAAAAGTTGGTGAAAAGGTTATGCCACAGGGAAAGGTCTCCAGAATGCATCAGAGAGGCAATGGCTCTCACTGCCCACTGTGCCTGAAATATGGGGACAAATAACTGTGTTGCCCCCAGTAAAGCCTTTGTCCATCCATCCACTGACTCTAAGTAGATTAGACTCTCACTCTTGATTTGTCTATTATGGAAGTGATGGTCTCTTCTAGTCAACTTCAGAATCCTCAAGTTAAAAAAAGTCATAGTTTCATGACAAATAGGTTTATGAAACACCAGTGAGGAAATGTGCATTGGCTGTGATTTAGTTCTTAAAGAAGAAAAAAACCCTATTTTCATGCAAACATATCAGTAACTAAAGAATTGCAAAGAATGAGGCAAAAAAGAGAAAGGCCTTATTTTTTTCTGAACTGAAGGTTTTCAGAATCTTCCTGGAAGCATCAGCACAATGAT